AGGAAAAAGAATTATCTTTAAGTTTAATTTAAATCAATCAATTTCAATCTCATTACATTCTTCCTAATGGTAGAAATTAAATAGTAATAAGATTTTGTCTGAGAGGCCACAAGCCATTGTAATGTTTAAGGTTTTTCCCTCCGAAGAATTAGTTTTGGTCCCCTTGGGAGCCATGCTCTTTGAGAATTCGTGCTTTAAAGGGAGAGCTGGGCAATAAACAAGTAAATTGAAAAGATTATATCAGAAGGAAAGGAAAGAAGGGAGAGTGGTTAAGGGCGTCACTTGACATCTTAATCATCTGAATCAGAAAAGCTCTTTCCAGACAAGGAAGACCAGCTGGCCTTGGTTTCTTGTTGCAAAATGGAAATAATTTTCTCCTCACAGTGCGTGGCATACAGGAAGCGCTTAATGAGTGAGCTTTATTGTTATTATTATTTTTTTATTTTACCATTTTTTATTGATATATAATTGACAATCTAAAAAAGTTTTTTTTAAGGTAAATAGGATAGGCCCTGAGATGGGCATCTGTTCTTACCTACTTGGGTACCAGCGCGCAGCCGCTTAACGCAACCGGCCAGTCAACCTCCGACCGCAGGGGGCGCTGTGGGCGCCGCAGCCAAGCTGATGTAGGACACGGCACCGGAAGTCTCGTTCTCCCGTCACTTCCTGTCTCTGGCCCAGGCTAGGGCTGCGTGGAGGTTTTACGATGCCTACGGGAGACTTTGAGTGAGTCCTGGGTCGCAGAGTGGGGCCTGGGAGGCGGCTTGTGGGTCATACGGGGTATTATGGGACCTGAGTGCGCCGAGGCCGTGGGAGCCTCGCCTCGCTGACAACCCTTTCCTCCCACAAACTTGTCCCCGCAGTTCGAAGCCCAGCTGGGCGGACCAGGTGGAGGAGGAGGGAGAGGATGGTGAGTACGCCTGGTCGCCCTGGGTCACCGCGGCCAGCCCCCAGGCCCCCACCTCAGCACCGCCGGCCGACCCCACATCTCCCGTCTCGGCCAGCCTCTGCCCCACGCCATCCTCATCAGGGCCAGCCTGTCGCCAATTCTAGATGTTCACTGGCTAGTCTCACTCTCTCCCATGCCACCGCCCAAGTCCTCACAGCTGCTATCCTTCAGGGCGGAAGTTGTAACGGCCTGCTTTTTGTCTTTGTACCAGCGCCGGAATGTTTTGATGGCCCGCTCCTGCCTTCATACCAGGGGTTCCCTATCCTTGCCTTTGCTAGAGGTTACTCAGCCAGCTCCATGTCCTCGCATGGCTGTCCCAGGGTACTTCCTGGTCAGTCCTCTGCTCTTGGTCCTTCCTTCCTCAGCTCCTAGTGTGGGCATCATCCCAAAGGTCCCTTCATTTCAGCTTGGGAGCTCCCGCCCCTCCACCTCACCTCCCAACACTCTCTTACAGACAAATGTGTCACCAGCGAGCTCCTAAAGGGGATCCCTCTGGCCACAGGTGACACCAGCCCAGAGCCTGAGCTAGTGCCAGGAGGTGAGTGATGACTTCCATTCTATCCCTGGGCTGCGTTTTTCCCTAGCTACATTTCCACCTGGTCCCCATTACCAGGTACATGGCTCAGTTCCTCTCACCTTTTCCCCACTACCAGCTCCACTTCCGCCTCCTAAGGAGGTCATCAATGGAAACATCAAGACAGTGACTGAGTACAAGATGGATGAGGATGGCAAAAAGTTCAAGGTGAGGCTAGGGGAGGAGGTGGGGGTACTTGGACTAGGAGGGGGATGGTGTGTGTTGTGTTGGTTGGTGAGGAGGATCCCCTGGGCCCAGGAACCTTGAGGCACAGGAAACCCAAACTTCTCTCCCATGCACAGATTGTCCGCACCTTCAGAATTGAGACCCGGAAGGCCTCAAAGGCTGTTGCAAGGAGGAAGGTGAGACCCTGCTCCTCTTGCCTTGGGGGCTACCCCAGGCTGACTTAGAAGAATTAAGACTTCTTTTTCCCAGTACTTTTATCTTAGAAGTGGGGTTTGACAGTTTTACTTATTTTGTGGGAGGAGAACTGAGGTTAAGGGTGTTTGCACTCTGTTGGGACCTCCAGAATTACAAGTGCAAGATGGGGTGGGGTTGATTCCTACTCCTTTTGGCTTGTCTACCAGGAGGAACAGAACCAGTCACTCCCCTGAGGAAGTCATAGCAGAGGAAGAGGTAGCATTAAATACATTTGGCACAGTTATCTGTTCACCTTGTGCCACATCTTGTGCCAAATGCTTTGTAGGAAGTGTTTTCTCATTTTGATCCTTATAGCAACCCAGGGAGGTGGGGAGTATTTGTGGTCCCCATTTTATAGGGGGAAGCTGAGGCTCAGGTTGCTTAGCCCAAGGTCCCTCGAAGTCTGGTGAGCCCTGCACATCCCTGAGCAATGCACCCTGGTGGAAGCTGGTCCACCACTTGTACAGCCACCCCCTAGGAATTGTATGCTCTGCAGCTATTTGACCCTAAGCCTCTGTTCTGTCTGGATCATGGTAGAGGCAGAAGCTAACTCTGCCTCCTGAAGCTGGCATGAAGCTTGGCAGGCACTTAGGAAACTGGAACTGTCATTATCACTGCTATGGGGGGCATTTGGAGAGGGTGGAGAATGGGGTTTAAGGCCAGACACCTCAAAGGGGGCTGTTGAAGGTTTGGGGTGTCAGGGGCTCCTACTTGCCCTTGCCCTGACCTGTCCCCAATCCTGCCTTGAGCCCAGAACTGGAAGAAGTTTGGGAACTCAGAGTTTGACCCACCAGGGCCCAATGTGGCCACCACCACAGTCAGTGATGATGTGTCAATGACTTTCATCACCAGCAAAGAGGTAAGTGAGGCATGAGGGTGGGAGGTGGTGGCTAGGGCGGTGGTGGCCAGGGTGCAGCAGACTCCCTCTGAGCTGCCCTCATCTGCCCTGCCAGGATCTGAACTGCCAGGAGGAGGAGGACCCGATGAACAAGCTCAAAGGCCAGAAGATCGTGTCCTGTCGCATCTGCAAGGGTGACCACTGGACCACTCGCTGCCCCTACAAGGACACGCTGGGGCCCATGCAGAAGGAGCTGGCCGAGCAGCTGGGCCTGTCCACTGGCGAGAAGGAGAAGCTGCCTGGAGGTGCTGGGGTCTAGGGGTGCAGCTGACAGGCCTTGGGGAATGGGGGTATCTTGTGCACCTCTGGAGAGTCCTGGGTTGTCACCTGCTGTCTGTGAACAGGCTGTCCCCATTGCAGTTATCTCCCACACCACAGCGTCAACACTGCAAAGGCTGTGGTCATAGTCTGTGTTGGTGTGTGTGAGACCAGCTGGGTGGGTGCTGTGACTGCTCGTGATGTCACCTGTTTCTCCTTGTCGGGGGCTGTCAGAATTGCTTGTGTGCATGCCTGCATGTTTAACTATACAAGTGATTGGGAGACAGTTGACCCCTGTATGTGAAACTTGCCAGCTGTGATTCTGACTGACTTTGCAATGGTCCTGACTTGAGTGTGCTGTGTTTGTCTGCCATGGACGTGGCTGCTGTCCTGTGTGTGTGTTTCTGTGCATGCAAACCTATGAGTAGACACACATGTGACTGCCCACAGTCCTTGTCTTTCAGCATGATTAGCTGATGGTGAGTTTGTGTCTGGACAGCTCTACATCTGACTGTGTGTGTCAGATGTAGGACTGTTTCTGCCCTGTGTGCCTTTGTTACTCTGTGTTGGAAGGCTAGGCTGAGTGTTCTAGCTCTTAGCCTTGTGGGCACCTCAGACCGAATCAACCCCTGTGGCTTCTTACTCTGCCTGTGGTGCAGGCTGTGACCTTTATGTTATTGGGGCCACCAGGCCTCTTCAGGACCAATTAGATGCCTGTGGCTTTGAAAGATGGTGTCTGGGCCAGAATGTGGGTGGTTCTGTCCCTCTGCTCTGCGAGAGTGAGGCCTGACTCGACTGTGCTTTTGGTCTCCAGAGCTGGAGCCTGTGCAGGCCACCCAGAACAAGACAGGGAAGTACGTACCACCAAGTCTGCGGGACGGGGCCAGCCGCCGCGGGGAATCCATGCAGCCCAACCGCAGAGGTGAGGCAGTGAGGGCACCTAGCTGGTAGACGAGAAAGCATTTCCCAGCACCCAGTGATCCCAGGATGGGACCCAGGTGGGCCGGCTCCTCACAGCTGCCTCTCTTTGCCTGCCCAGCCGATGACAACGCCACCATCCGTGTCACCAACCTGTCAGAGGACACACGCGAGACTGACCTGCAAGAACTCTTCCGGCCCTTCGGCTCCATCTCTCGCATCTACCTGGCTAAGGACAAGACCACTGGCCAGTCCAAGGTGGGTTGGTGGTCATGGCGGGGGCATTATCTGTCTAGCTGTGCCCTGAACACCTTTCTCCCCTCCCCAGGGCTTTGCCTTCATCAGCTTCCACCGCCGCGAGGACGCTGCACGTGCCATTGCTGGGGTGTCCGGCTTCGGCTATGACCACCTCATCCTTAACGTCGAGTGGGCCAAGTAAGACCCCTCCCCTGCCCCATCATCGTGTCGTAGCTGACACTTGGGCTGACTGCAGCCCCACACCAGTTGAACAGTCATCAAACCTTTTCTGAGATACAAGTCATTTATTGTCCTTTTATCTCGAGGAGGAGCTGCTGCCCTCCACAGCCGGGCCATGCTGGTTACCACCACTCTGGCTCCAAGTGCCCTGTCCTGAGCCCCATCCCCACTACCCCAGTTGTGTGTGGAGGAGGGGTGGGTCTTGGGATTCCCTTCAGGGTCTGAAGCCCCCACACTTGCCCTCATCACTCCTGTCTCCCTCTCTAGGCCATCTACCAACTAAGCCAGCTGTCGCCGCTGCTGCCCGGCCCCTGGTCCAGGACCCTGTGGCAACAGAAGGTGGCCTCCGAGAGCAGGGGGCTCCAAGGGCAATAAAAAGGCTCCAGTCCCTCTATGTGTGTCCTGTTTATATATGGATGTCATCCACCTGTGGCAGATGGGGTGACCATCCCCCCAGAGTGGGTTTGCTCCCAGGCCCTGCCTAGGGTCAGCACTGTGGGCAGAAATTTTTGCCGCTCTGGCTTGGGTTCTCACTCCTCCCACCACAGGCCTTTCTTCGGGGAGGAAATGGCAGTTTGGGGCCTGTTGTTCTCTCACCCCTGTTCTGCTGCTGGGTATAATTGCCTTTTGGCAGGGAAGAGGCTCAAGATAGGGCAGGTCATGGGCTCAGCTTAGGGGACCAGGGCCTCGAGGTTCTGGTGGCTGTGATGTTGAGGGGCAGAGCTGGGCCAGAGCTCTCAGTGTTCTCTAGAGTCTGGCCCTCCCTGCAGCCAAGGCAGTGTTGGTGGCAGCAGCCTAGGCTGGGTGTTACAGCCATGTAGAGCAGTGGGTGGATGCACATGGCTAGGGGCATGAGGCCCCGCATCACCTGGTGGCCTACATAGGACCTCAGGTCCAGGGCTTCCATAGCCTGAGCCACGTCCACAAATGCTGGGCAGCGGGCTCTCCAGCGCTGCCGGGCGGACAAGTTGAGCATTTGTGTGACATAGTAGGGCACATAGGAGCCAACATAAAGGGCTACACCACTGGCCACTAGCACTGCTACGTTCATTTTCTCGGCCAGTGTCATGCCATGGCTGCGCAGCAGAGCCCGCCCAAGGGCACCGTAGGCCACCAGGGTGAGCAGCAGTGGCAGGCCACAACCCAGTACTGCCTTTGCTAAGCTGTAGGTTCTGTAGGCCTCGAGTTGGTTGTCACCTGCTGTCCCCAGGCATTTGATGCACGCCTCAGTTCTGGCCTTAGTACAGTTGCCTTCCTGATGTGGTGTCGTCAGGCGGGAGAAGCTGAGTGTGGGTGCAGCTATCAGGCCTGCCAGCGCCCAGCCAGCAGCACTGATGGCCCAGGCATGCTTGGGTTGCAGGTAGCTGCGGGTGAAGAAGGGGTGGACAACACCCAGGTAACGGTTGAGGCTGATGCAGGTGATAAAGATGACACTGCCCAGCATGTTGCAGACAAAGAGGAAGTGCTCCAGGCGGCACATGGCTTCCCCATAGCGCCAGTGTTTGGGTGGGTACAAGTAGGCAGCCAGCGGGGGCAGCGTCAGGGCATAGAGTAGGTCACTGACAGCCAACTGGGCAGAGAAGACCACAGCTGGGTTCCATGGGCGCTGCTCCTGTGTGGTGAAGCGGTAGAGGGCCAGGCTGTTGGCTGCCACAGCCACCAGAAACTCAGCCACCAGTATGGGCCACAGGAAGACTTCCTGGAACCTATTGAGGATGTGGTCGGCAGCCACAGACATGTTGGCTGGGCAGGGCGGGGCACCTGTGGGTAGACAGTGTTACAAATGAGCCCTGTGCCTGATGCGGTTTCCACAAGCTCTACCTGCTGTGCACCAGGCCTGCATGACCCCTCTGTGTAGACTCGCTGAGTCCTGTCCACCCACAGGAGGGGTGCAGCCTCAGCGCCTTTTTATGGAGGGAATTAGGCCCAGAAAGCCAGAAGCCCAGACTCTTGTCATTTTGCTGACTAGGATCTCCGGATCCTGCACCCTCAAGAATCAGCTGGGGCAAGAACCAGGGGACTGCTGCCCTCAGGATGCACAGGACCTGGCAGTGACGACCGGGATTGCAGGCCGCACTGCAATCCCCGAAGTCCAATCACTCACCAAGTCCCAACTTCAGAATCTGTCACCCCTTTAAGGCCACGGGAGTCCAGGTCCTGTCGTCTTCCATCTGGACAAACAGTTGCCTAGGCCCTGGTCTCCCAGCTCCCGTCCTCACCGTGTTCTCCCCACAGCCTCCAGAGGTCACCTCCGAGCACCCGTCAATCAGGGCTCTGTTCAGTCACCCAGAGCTTCCTTCCTCTTGGGAGGAAGAGCCAGTGCTCATCTCACCTAAGGCCCTGCACGAGCTCTCGCTCCCACCCACTTGCTTGTCTTTTGCTCCGCGTGACTCCTACAGTCCTTCCTACGCTGGCTTCCTGGCTGCTCTTAGGTTCATCCTGCTCCTGGGCCTTTGCACTAGCTGTTCTTTCCCGGAGTCACAGGCAAGAGACATCCTTAAGGCCATCTCCCTCACCTCTGGTCTCTGGTCCTCAGCGGCACATTTTGACCCCTCTAACATTGCCACTGCAACCCTGGGCTTCCCTTATTTTTCTTCTCTATGGCCTGTATCTCCATCCAATCACTGTAAAGAAAATTCCCAGGAGTGTCTCTCCTGACGAAGGCAGGAGGGCTGGCTTCTGGCTCTCCAGCACCTGGGACACTGCAGCGTGAGGGTAGTAGAGCTGTAAAGTTGACTCCCTCTCACGCACTCCTCAGTCTGCTGAGAAATAGCCTGTTCCAGGTGGGTCCAGCAGGCTGGCCACCGTGCGAGATGCACACTCTCCTGTCTTCCCATCCTGGTTCTTGGTTTCAGAACTTGGGGAAGAAACCACTGTCCAGATATGATTCTTACACCAAATCCCTGCCCCCTCCAATCCCTGGTCCTAGGCTGTAGGGACCAGGGCCCTCAATGTGCTCCCTCCTCACCTGAGCTGATCACGGCCATGGCCTGCATCTTGCCTCCGAGTCTGCTGCTCCTGCTGGGCCTTTGCACTAGCTGTTCTTTCCCGGAGTCACAGGCAACAGACATCCTTAAGGCCATCTCCCTCACCTCTGGTCTCTGGTCCTCAGCGGCACATTTTGACCCCTCTAACATTGCCACTGCAACCCTGGGCTTCCCTTATTTCTCTATGGCCTGTATCTCCATCCAATCACTGTAAAGAAAATTCCCAGGAGTGTCTCTCCTGACGAAGGCAGGGCTGGCTTCTGGCTCTCCAGCACCTGGGACACTGCAGCGTGAGGGTAGTAGAGCTGTAAAGTTGACTCCCTCTCACGCACTCCTCAGTCTGCTGAGAAATAGCCTGTTCCAGGTGGGTCCAGCAGGCTGGCCACCGTGCGAGATGCACACTCTCCTGTCTTCCCATCCTGGTTCTTGGTTTCAGAACTTGGGGAAGAAACCACTGTCCAGATACGATTCTTACACCAAACCCCTGCCCCCTCCAATCCCCGGTCCTGGGCTGTAGGGACCAGGGCCCTCAATGTGCTCCCTCCTCACCTGAGCTGATCACGGCCATGGCCTGCATCTTGCCTCCGAGTCTGCTGCTCATGCTGTGTCTCTTTTCCTCCTCCAGTAACCAGCAGCACACTAGCCCCTCCCTTCCCAGCAGCTCCACCTTTAGTGGGCTGAGCGGAACAGCTCAGGCGCCAGCCTCCCTTCTGCCCCCCGATTTCCTGCCTCATCACACTTCGGATTTGGCCTCAGTCTGAGAGGATGGGAAGGGGCCCAGGACCCAGAGGCATCAAAGACGAGTCAAATCTGCTCACCGCCTTCACCAGTAAAACAAGGTCTCACACTTCCACTGCCCAGGTTGGGGAGGGAGGGCAGAAACTGGGCCCAATTCCCAGGGGCTGCTAGCCTCTCCAGGCCCTGTGACCCAGGTTCCCCTTTTCCAAATGAAGACTCTGACTCATGGGAAATCAGTGTTTATTCAAGTGAGAGGTTGGGGAACCAGCTCCTTTATAAAAGGAAACTGAGGGCTGTACCTGGCTGCCCAGGTGGGAGCCCAGGGCAGCATCTCTCGGGCCCCAATCTGGGGCATTCCATCTGCTGTTCAGGCCTGGCCTCAGGCCACTCTCTTAGGTGGCCTTGTTCGGCCTCGGCCTCGCCCATTGTCCCAAGTAGTCCCTCGAGGCCCTAGCTTCGCCTGGGCTCCCCAGGGCCTGTCCTTGGCCTTTGGAGGCCTCCGGTCACCGCCTCCATTGGGCTGCTTCTGTTCCTTTACCCGCTGCTTCTTGCCTGAAAGCCCAATGGGCCGTCTGCGCCGCGCGTTTGGGAACATATCTGCAAGGAGACTGTGTCAGGGCCACCAGGGCACAAGGATAGGCTCGTGGTGCCTGGCTGCACTGGCCCCTGCCACATACCTTCATCGGGCTCCTCGCCCACTGCCTGGCGGAAATACTCGGCTTCATCCTCCTCCTCCTGGCCAGGCCCTTCCGCCTCTGGGGGTGCCCCAGGGTCCTCGGCATCGCTGTCCCCATCAGCCTCTGCTCGTGCCCGCTTCATGCCCGCCAGGCTCTTCTTTCTGGAGAGGGGTGTTGGTCAGTGTGGCAGCTGGCACTCGGGACGCACCTCACCACCCACCAGCCACACACCTGTGGGCCTCTCGCTGCTCCTGCTTGCGTTGGACATTCTGTGCCTGCTGGTCCTGCCTCTGAGCCTTGAGCCGCAGCTTCTCCTCCTTAGCTGCCAAGATGGCCTGCAGTTCCTCCTCCGTCTTGTGCACTAAGGAAGAGATGGTTCACCAAGACCCAGGTGTGCCCACTGCACCCTGTAACCCACATTGGGGGGCCTCAAACCCTAGGCCCTATCCTTGGCAGCCCTGTCCTCACCAAAACTGTGGAACAGCATGTTTCCCTCCCCAACACCTTCCTGGATCTTGATAAGCTGCAGTGTCATCCGAGGCCCAATCTAGAGAAACAAAAGGGAAGAGTCATTCCTCCTTTGGGGGTGCCAGAGAAAACCACCTCTGCCACTGGGCCTTACCTCAGTAAGACGAATGGCGCTCTGCTGGGCCCGCATGTTGCCACGCCCCGCGATGGCCTGGGGCAGCTCCGTAATATTGTGCTCACCATCGGGCTCTGCCTCACTCTCTGACAGCCCTGCACCCCTATGTGAGGGACACACGGCTCACCAGGGGATCTCAGGCTCCTGGGACAGCTCTGGGATCCCTTGGACTGTGGCAGCCTCCTACCCTAGCCCCTCCTCACGTGGCCAGCAGTTCGCTGATGTCCTGCAGGCGGCTCATGTTGGGGAACTTCTCCTGGAGAAGCTTCTTCATCCCTCGACTTGCACCCACAGGAACAACTTTGATGCTACTATAGAGGCAGGAGTGAGTGAGGACAGGGGTTAGGGCTCACAGAGTCGGAGACCAGCCCGAACCCCTCCCTTTTCCATGGTGTGTCAGGGCATTTCCTGAGACTGAGCAATCAGTCTCAGCAGACGTGGTGTCATCAGCTGCATGCAGAGCAGCCCTCGTGACCCCCGTACTTACTAGTGGCGGAAATCCAGCTCCTGGGAGTCGGGGTTGTAGTTGATGAGAAGGCAGCGCTTGATGGTGTTTAGGTTCACCTGGAAGGGAAAGGAGGGCATGGCACCATGTCAGCTGCTCTCATGACTCATTGCATGCTGGAGCCCCCGCTAGGCCCTGTGGGGGCTGCAACTGGTATCAATGGACTGCTGGCTAGAAATCTTGGTTTCAGAGCCCATCGAGGCCACTTGCACCAGACTCCCTGATGATCACATCTAACGAGCGAAATCTGAGACCCACTGGTGCCAGGGATTAGGAGCTGGGACTCTGGAGCCAGATTTAAAAATCCAGTTCTCCCCCTACTGCCTCATACCTAACCTCAGATTAGTAACTCTACCTGTCAGCCTCAGTTTCCCTGTAAGATGAGGCCAGGACAACATACACTACACTGCTTAAACCAGTACTTGATAAAGCACTATCTGTGTTTTTCACCTGCTAGAATAGAAGGCAGCTCACAAGGAGCCTCTTGCCCAGGATCACGAAATCTAAGTGAAATTTGACCTCGGGAGCCTGAGCTCTCAACCCCAGGGCCTGTGTGGTACCTGCTACTTGCCTCGCCCGCCCATATTTGCTACGTCAGATCCAGCCTACCTTGTGCACGTTGATGGAGGGGAACAGGTTCTGGAACATAGTGGCCATGAGCTTCACGTGCATGCCGTGGGGGCCAAAGCTGTTGAGCACCAGGAGGGGTGGGTGGGTGAACTGCTGCTCGTGCATGCGGTGCCGGCGCAGTGAGGAGACCACGTCACGCACCAATGTGTACTGCAGGGCAAGGGGTGAGGGATGGGTGACCATCTATATCACACGTGGCTTGTGCCAACCCCAAACCCAGCTCCTACCCTATATGGCCCACATACCAACTCCAATCTTTACCTTGTTGATCCGGAAGGTTAAGGTGGGGCCTCCTGGGAGGCGCATCAGCTTCTACAGAGAAAAATATTGATGAGATTGAGGTGTCTAGCTAGGGACCAGGGGGAGTGAGAACTTCTGCCCCATCTCTTCAGAGCGTTTACTTTGAAGCCAAAATCATGGCAGCTCAGAGGCACATGGGTTCATCATGAGAGTTGGGGTGAATAAGGGTGTGGGGGAAATGAGGAATGTGGGTGTCCACTCACAAAGTAGATATTGGTCTCCGTTTTGCTCAAGATCAGGAAATGTGTGACTCCAAGGGGCCCGGCCACTGCCACGCAATCCTTGAGAGAATTTTTCTTTCGTACCTAAAAATTAGAAAAAAGGACGATCACAGACATCCCCTTTCCGAGCAGACTATAAGCTTAAATTGTTATGCCCTTTCTTGCATCTAACCCTTCCCAGAAATGTGTGTGGGGTGGGAGGAGTGGAATGCTCTTGGCCTCTAGAGCCAATCAGACTTAAATTCGAGTACCTCTTCTGTCCTTTCCTTACTATGCATCGCCCCATTCTGCAAATGAGCTAACTAAAGTACAGCGAGATTAATTAATTTGTTCCAGGACTTTCAAAGTTTCCAATCCAGTTCTGCTGATTCCAGAGTTCCCTCTTAACCACCAATCTCAGACATCCTGCCAAACCCCAAGCTGAGTGCGTTCATCTACGTGCCACCGCTGCTGCCCCGCAAAGCCCTGAGAGGCATGGACGATGGTACCCATAAGGGTCTTTATCCAGCCGAGGAGACTGAAACGCAGCGGGGCTGGAGCCACGGCAGATGGAGACGGGCTGCGGGGTGCAGACCTGCAGACGGGTGGCGGTGAGCGGCTCCATGACCCGCCGTAGGTCCAGGCTGAGCTGCCGGACGCTGCGACCCGCGCGGCCCCGAGCGAACACGAACGAGTGCGGCTGCGCAGCATAGACCTCGAGGTTGCGGAGCTGCGCCTGGGCGCGCGCGCGCTTCTGGTGCCGGGACTGCGGGGGCGACAGGCGAGCGGTGAGCGCTGCGGCTTCCGCGGGGACCCCGCCCGCCTCCCCAGCTGCGG